GGGAAACTTGTGTCACAGGCTCTTTAAATATGCAACCACTCACCTCACTTTGCCTGTCCGTCAGTGGTTCATCAGACGAAAAGATCTGCGTAGGTCTCTATAGGTCATGTTCACTCACTGTCACATCGCTTTACAAAAACGTATTCATCCGCCGCTTAGCTTTTCGTAGTCATCAATCTGTCCGCTTGAAGTTCTTCTTTTGATAATGGCGAATCGAACTCGGTGGTTCACTTGCTGTATATCGTAAAAAAACTAAAAAAAACTCATGTCCCTGTTAAATGCCTTCAATTAATGAAAACACCAATGAGACCGGGACTATTTTCACCGGGCAGGAATATGTCATCACTACTGCCATGTTAAGTATGGGATTAGTTTTGTATCATAAAGATAAAGCAACATTTTCTCAGAATAAAGCAAAACTATGAGTTAAAAAAAACAAAAAACTGAGTCAAGCAAAATAAAACTATAAGTTGCAAACAAATCATTTGTGTAATCATGTAAACTATAAGTCTTTTTTCTTTGTTTTAACATAGGTTTTTGTTTGCAGTTCTTGTTTCTTCTTTCTCAATGATCAGACTTTTGCTCTCGCTGCAGCTTTTCTCGTTTGCGCTCCCTCATTTTTTGTTTGAGATTTTGACACAAACGTCCCAGATGGGCGGGACTTTCAGGGGTGCGTCCCCATTGGCTACTCCGTTTTTGAGTGACAGCCCACTACACCACAGATCATACTCATGCAGCAAACTCCGGAGTCCACTCGGCCATGTTAGTGTCGGTGTCTCCTGGGGTGTTTTCATGAACAGATCGGACTTATCTTATGGATTGCTGTGCATTATACTTGTGTCTTGGAGTGTCTGACCATAAGGCTATCTCCCTAACGCTGACAATCCCATCCTCCAACCAGCCACCCCCCACTGAGAGAGTCATGAAGTACCGAAACATCAATAATTTGGACACTCCACTTTTTCTCAAAACCATAACAGCAAACCTTTCAACTGACCTCCGTTCGCTTTGCCCCGACGACATGATTGAGCTCTACAACGACACCATGACCACCACGCTCAACATCCTGGCTCCGGAAAAAAAGAGGAAAGCCACTTTCCAACGGTCCTCTCCCTGGTTCACGGACGCCCTCTGCCGCATGAAAACCTGCGGTCGACAGCTGGAGAGACTATGGAGGAAGCAGGCTCTCGCCGTCCACTTACTGGCCTTCAGAGAACACCAAAGTGCCTATGCTACTGCTCTAAAAAACGCCCGCTCTGCATACTACTCGTCAATAGTAGACAACGGCAAAAGCAATCCTAGAACCTTATTCTCCACTATCAACCGCCTTCTCAACTCTACCAACACAGGCCCCCCAGCTGCCTCTCCAGAACTCTGCAATGACTTCTCTGCTTTCTTTAAAAACAAGATCGCAGATATCAGAGCAACCATTACAGCCTCAACAGTAGCTCGGACCCCACCCACCTGCTCTCCCTTCATCAACGGAATCACCCTCTGCAGCTTCAACGAGGTGACGTCATCTGCACTGCTAGCCATCATAGGCAAATCAAAGCCTACCAGCTGCTCCCTCGACCCCATACCCACCCCGCTGCTAAAAGCCTGTTCGCCAACCCTGGTTAATTTCCTGACAACACTCATCAACAAGTCACTACAGACTGGTGAGGTGCCTGTCCATTTCAAAACAGCAGTTGTCACCCCACTTTTAAAAAAAACAAATATCGACCGAGAACTCCTCTCCAACCACAGACCTATCTCCAACCTCCCGTTCCTTGCCAAAGTACTTGAGAAGGTCGTGGCCGCACAGCTCCAGTCTCATCTGTCTGACAATGACATGTATGAGACCTTCCAATCAGGTTTCCGCCCTGCACACAGTACAGAAACAGCCCTAATAAAAGTAGCCAACGACCTACTGATGGCAGCCGACTCTGGGTCACCCAGCATCCTGGTCCTTCTTGACCTGAGTGCGGCTTTCGACACAGTGGACCATACCATCCTCCTCCACCGCCTCGAGACCTACACCAGGGTGACGGACACGGCTCTGAAGTGGTTCTCAAGCTACCTCACCAACCGGAAGTACCACGTGTCTCTGGGGGGTTCCAGGTCTGACGACACCGCAGTGACATGCAGGGTCCCACAGGGCTCAGTGCAGGGGCCGATCCTGTTTTTAATCTATCTATTACCTCTGGGTCATATCATCAGACAACATAACATCAACTTCCACTGCTATGCCGACGACACTCAGGTCTACATCAAAACACAACCCAATACCACCACTATCCAAACACTAAACACCTGCCTGGAAGACATCCGCTCCTGGATGACCACCAACTACCTTCAGCTCAACAGCAGCAAGACGGAGGCAATCCTGATAGGCACCACCGACCAGCTTGCCAAGGCCGCCAACATCAGCCCCTCCCTTGATGGTCAGCTCATTCCTCTCTCCTCCGTTGTCACCAACCTCGGTGTAAGCTTTGACCCCACTCTGTCTTTCCAAGCCCACATCAAACATATCACCAAGACCTCCTTCTTTCACCTGAAAAACATTTCCCGACTGAAGCCCTCACTCTCAACTGATGACATCAAAAAACTGGTTCATGCACTCGTCTTCTCAAGACTAGACTATTGCAATGCACTCCTCTCCGGTCTCCCAGCCAAATCCATCAACCGCTTGCAACTTGTCCAGAACAGCACAGCCAGAGTTCTCACCGGTACAAAAAGGTCCGCACACATAACCCCCATACTTGCAAAACTACACTGGCTCCCGGTCCACTACAGGATCCAGTTTAAGGTTCTGCTCCTCACGTACAAAGCCCTGAATGGACAAAGCCCAAAATACCTCTGTGACCTCATCCATACCCAGACATCTACCCGCTCGCTCCGCTCCAGCCACGCTCCTCTTCTTTACATCCCCCGCACACGTCTCCGAACAATGGGAGACCGAGCCTTCTGCTCACTCGCCCCGCGCCTCTGGAACTCCCTCCCAGATCAGCTGAGATCTGCCCCTTCCACCGAGGTCTTCAAAACCGGCCTTAAGACCCTCTTCTTTCGGCAGGCCTTCCAATAAACTTTGAGCATGGTACACCTGGAGTATTGCCATTTATATCGCTATCACCGACTTTTATTTTTGTACTTTATTTTATATTTTATTTTTTGATTTCTTATTATTATTACAATTATTTGTTTAATCTATCAAAGTGTATTAGTATCCTTTGTTGTGAAGCACTTCGAGATTTGTCTTGGCAGATGAGAAGCGCTATATAAATTAAATGTATTATTATTATTGTGTAGTTTATACTTTATTCCAACTTTAAATATTTTAATACCTGAACACACTGCTGCTGTTAATTTCCCAATTTGGGATTGATAAAGTGTCTGTCTGTCTATTTATTTATTTTATAGATAAAAAAACACATCTATGTATTTTCACGCTAAAGGTGATACACTGAACAAAAATATAAATACAACACTTTTGTTTTTGCTCCCATTTTTCATGAGATGAACTCAAAGATCTAAAACATTTTCTATATACACAAAATAACCATTTCTCTCAAATATTGTTCACAAATCTGAAAGAATCTGTGATAGTGAGCACTTCTCCTTTGCCGAGATAATCCATCCCACCTCACAGGTGTGGCATATCAAGCTGCTGATTAGACAGCATGATTATTGCACAGGTGTGCCTTAGGCTGGCCACAATAAAAGGCCACTCTGAAACATTTTTCTTTTAAACTCATAGTTTTGCATTATTCTGAGAAAGTGTTGCTTTATCTTTATGACACAAAACTAATCCCATATTTTAGCAGCAGACAGGGAGAGACAAATACAACTAAATATCGTTCCAGGGCAGGCTAACCGAGGCTAACCAATGAGCACCTGCGTGTATGAGAATGAAACCTGACACCATTTCAGCCCAGATTTAAACTCCTGGCAGGACAAGCTCCAGCTCAATTCTCGCACTGAGTTAAAACAAGTGAGTGAGGGACTGCAATATAAGAGGGAAAGAAAGAGAAACTTTTAAACTGTTCAATTGTTATGATGTGTAAAGACTGATATTGTTCTATAATCGGCTGAAACTGTTAAGTCATGATGTGAAACGGTTAACAAAGAAAAAGGGAAACTCAAGCTGCTGCTACACTTTATTTTATTTATATAAAATTAAGCACTTTTAAGATGCACATTTTTAAAAGCTATTTTATTTATTTTCTCTATTTTATTTTCAAATGCAGCCCGAGAGGAACATTACACATATCCACAGTATTTACTGTATATCTGTATAGTTCAATGTTAATTGATAATAAATATTGTTGTTTATGAATTTTACTTTATTTGATTGGCAGTCAGTTGTTGATTACAACGTTGATAAAGTTACAGCTACTTCAATATGTCACACTAATTCATAAAGCAAGTTAGACATGTTGATGTTCCGGACCTTTGCATGGGGAGATTTTCTCTAACTGGACCTCATTGAATTTTAGTTGAATACCCCTGCTCTATAGTGTGTTCCAAAAATAAATATAATTACTATAATAATACTGATAGTTTTTTGTGGTATTTCTAGTAATTCTTAATAGTAATACAATAGTGTGGGTCAGGCTGCAGCTCAGCAAATCCACAGCTTCTTCCACAAACCAACTGCTGCTGGAACCTGAGCTCTCTGAGTCTGGGGTCTGATTTTCTGGTGTAGTTATTGGAAGATTTTAGCCTTTGCAGTTTAATCAGAATGTATTTTTATTTCTTTCACAAAAAAAAAAGAGATACAATTCACAAACTTGTGTTTTTCATAAAATGCTGTTTTGTTAAATTCTCATATAAACAAGGATAAGACAAATACTGTTGTCTCTGAAACAGAAATTCATGAAAGTAGAATCACTTGCATGTCGTATGTTGAATTTTACAGTCTTGAAGGAAGTTGCTACAGTTTAAAAGATTTTAAGAGATCATTTGAATCATTGCAGTTGATTGGTTTCATGTTGTTTGTAACAATGTGACACAAAGAAATATTTTTACAGAAAATAAAATAATTTATTTTTAATACAAATCTGGTAAAAACAATGTATAGAGGGGGCATCCCCCCAAAATACATACATTTATCACATGAAATTATAGCGAACCCCGTGTGAAACATCAAATGGTTGTTCTACTCAGTTTGATTGACAGGAGAGATGATCAGAGGGGCAGAGTTTTTACCACCATAGTTAGGACAAGGACTAAAGAATGGGTAGAGTTTCTCTTTGAAGCAGCAGCCAGTGAAGGAGTAGATCAGAGCTGCAGCATCAACATCATAAAAGGAGACCAGACCCTCCTCATAATCCACAAACACCCCCACCTTCTCAGGCTGAGACTTCAGAGAGAGACGGACTGGAGGAACAGCAAAAGCTTGGTACTCATTTTCATTCCTCAACACTATCAGCCAGTAACCTTTCTGAGGAGACGCTGGGATCTTTCCCTTCCTGTTGATCGACTCTCTGGCCACTCCTAGATCCCACTTAGTCTTCCCTTTAACCTGAACCTCGTAATAACATCTTCCTGAAGAGAAACTCTGCTTTGCTAAGACACAAGCACACAAATCAAATCTCTCCGGATTGTCTGGGAGATTCTTCTTCACATCACCAAGTTTCACTTGTTTTCCATCATCAGACAGGATGAGTGCAGGATGTGCTGTATCAGGATCAAGAGTCACCTCCACCTCAGACTGCTGGACCCTCTTCAGCTCGAGCAGCTTCTTCGTCTGTTTCCTGAGCGTCTCCTCCAGCTGAGTCACAGCTCTCCTCACAGTCCCCTCATATGAAGGTGGACGGACCCTGACTTCTGTCCAGTTCTTGGTGGGTGGAGCAGCGTTCAGGGACGTGAAGCTTTGGAGGAGGTGGAGCTGGTCTTCAGAGCGTGAGAGCTGCTCCACCTCAGAGCTTCTCTTCTTCAGCTTAGAGATTTCCTGTTCCAGCTCTTTGATGAAGCCTTCAGCCTGTTCCTCTGTCTCTCTCTGCTTCTCTTTGATGGTGTCCATGAGCTCGGCCTGGCTTCTCTCAACAGACTCCTTCAGAGCGGTGAAGACCTGAACACCATCTGCTACCTCTCTGTCTGCTCCTTCCTTACTGAGCTCCACTGAGCGATTCATCTCCTGGATCTTCAGTCGTCTCTTCTGGATCAGCTGCTGAATTTCAGCCTCTGTCTTCCCCAGCTCAGCCTTCTTTCCTTCACATCCTTCTTTCAGAGGAACAACATCATGTGTCTTGTGGTCTGAAACAGTGCAGAGCATGCAGACACACACCTGGTCGGTCTTACAGAACAGCTCCAGCAGTTTATCGTGCTTCACACACATCCTGCTTTCCAGGTTCTCCTCAGGGTCGATCAGCTGATGTTTCTTCAGGCCTGCTCTTGTCAGGTGAGGCTCCAGGTGAGTCTCACAGTAGGACTCCAGACACACCAGGCAGGACTTCAGGGCCTTCAGTCTGGTTCCAGTGCAGGCGTCACAGGGAACTTCTCCTGGTTTGACAACGTGTTGCTCTGAGCTGCTGCTGCTGGCTTTCTGTTGAGCTGACTGTCTGAACTGAGCAGCCATCTCAGAGATGAAAGTGTTGACCCGCAGCTCAGGCTTTATGTTGAAAACTTCTTTACAGTTGGGACACTGACTCGGGACATCAATATCCCAGTATTCAGAGATGCAGGCTTTACAGAAGTTGTGTCCACATGGTATGGTGACTGGATCAGTGAACACATCCAGACAGATGGAGCACAGAAACTGATCTTCAGTCAGCAGACAGCTGGCAGCAGACATGTCTGTAAGAATAAAATGGGCAAAAAAACCAAGGTTTAAACAAAATGTAGTAGTGAATACGGTATGCATACAGAATGTAAAAGGCTGACACTAAAGTTCACTGCTTGCTTTAAAAGTTAAATACTATCCTTAATGTGTTAAACATGTAGATAATTTTACAGTTTTCTATAACTCATAGGGTCCCATAAACAACACATGACCACAACTCAATTATATTATTTGAAAAGCCTAATCCATCAGAATATGTAATCATAGCCTCTGATCCCTGCCTGCTACCAGTCTTAAATGACTGAAGCATGTGGCTATTAGCTGCGTGTTAGTTATTCAAAGAGAAGGAGCACATGGATGTTATCCTCTGCAGACCATTGACATGCACAGAAACCTATAGAACACTACAGGAAAGGGAAACACCCTAAAGCATAATAGGGCTTCTTAAAAAATCTCCCTGAGAGGAATTCCTGAGGTTTGGAGTTTATACCTGATGTTGAAACATTGTCAATTATCAGCTTTGCTGCTTGTGCTAGAAATTATAATTCCCTTCAGAGAAACTGATAAATGAGTCCTGTAGAAAGTTTGTCTTTAACAAAGTAATAAAGAAAGTAAAATACATCTAAAATGGAGGAACAGAGCAGCTTCACCCTCACAGGATAAAGAGGGTCTTCTGCACCCCGAACACAGCTCACATTCCCACTATGTAGAAGAAAGAAAACAGTCTACTAATCCTACCCAAACATTCTGTTAGACATTCTCTAAACATTCCCACCATAAAACCTCCCAGTCCTTAACCATTCTTGCAAATCCACCTTTTGCCCTCTGAAATGTAAAACCTAAACATACATATATATATAGATCTTTTAAACACGTATGAGACTAAGAAAACAATTTAAAATAGTAAAAGGCAATCAGAGTATAAGACATATATATGATGATGAATGATTATATGCAGGGCTGCACATAACTGGTGCGCAGGTGCGCATGCGCACCTCCGCCAAAAAAAGAGCACCGGGTCATTTGAAACAAAGCGCATTTGCGTACCAACATTGAGAGAGGGAGAGAGAGAAGGGAGAAGAGAAAAGAGAAAAGAGAGGAGAGATGAGAGAGAGAGAAGAGAGAGAAAGATATTTGCGAGTTGCATACATGTATGAACCATGATATGAACTCAGGGTCGGCCCGTAGCGCTGGCTAGATGTTCGCCTAGGGCGCCAGATCTGTGGAGGCGCTGCGCTGGCAGTTCTGGGAGGGAAACATTTTTTTTGACCGTTGGGGCTCATCCTAATTTTCGGCCTTGATGTAACGATATTCATAATTAAGTAAATGTAACACCCTTTTCACCCCGGTTACACGTTTCATTTGCCCTGTACGATGGGCGCTGTAAGTGATGAAAATGGGGGATGTTGGTTTATCTGGCGCCCGCAGCTCACAGCCAAAATGCGAGGGAGAGAGGGAGAGAGGGAGGGTGCACCGGTACCAGCGCTGTTGTTATTAGAATCTGGTGCTAGCTGCTCTAACGGATATAAGAAGATGTTTTTACAATAATGTGGAGGGAGAGTCCTCTCCAGCCAGACTGATAACTACAGCTCAGTGAGGTAAAGTCTAAGTTCAAACGGTTTGGTCGCAATTTATGTAAACAAATATTTCCAAGGCACTCCTTTATAATTATTGGGATAAACAGGTTTTAAATCATTCCAATGTATACTATAGGACAGTAAACAAAAATATCCTTTAAAACTGGAGAGATAAAAAAAATGCATAAATGAATGTTAAGGTAAAATAAGATATGAATGAACAACACAAATAAAATAAGTTACATTAATTTGTTATTGGCTATGGTAGGTTATTGGTTATGTTCACATACTTATTTGATTACATCCACTTGTCTAAGATGACAACAGAGACTTTCGACCCAAACCCAGCTGTTGACTTGTGGATGCAAGCAGCTAATCACAGACTCAACCAGAGAGAAAGAAGTAGGCCTACATCATCAGCTACCATGTCTGACAGAGAGGAAGACAGTGAGGAGAACAGTCAGGAGGGTAGTGATGACAGCTTGTAGGATTACTGGTCGTGCTAATGTTGTCTTGTGTTCACCTCTGCATGTGTGTTCTGTGTTCACCTCTGCACGTGTGTTCTGTGTTCACCTCTGCACGTGTGTTCTGTGTTCACCTCTGCACGTGTGTTCTGTGTTCACCTCTGCATGTGTGTTCTGTGTTCACCTCTGCATGTGTGTTCTGTGTTCACCTCTGCACGTGTGTTCTGTGTTCACCTCTGCATGTGTGTTCTGTGTTCACCTCTGCACGTGTGTTCTGTGTGCACCTCTGCATGTGTGTTATGTGTGCACCTCTGCATGTGTGTTCAGTGTTCACCTCTGCACGTGTGTTCAGTGTTCACCTCTGCATGTGTGTTCAGTGTCGTGTGTCTGGCAAATAAAGTCAAGACCCCCTCAAAAGTTACGGTTTATTTCATTTTAAGGATGAGCACCAAGCAACATCTCCAGGTGCTCCTTTGAGAACCAGGGCAAAAAAGTTATGTGCACCCCTGATTATATGATACTTTGACAACACTGCTTTAAAAAGACAAACAGCAGTAACTACAGTGAAGTTGAGAAAGAAAGGGTTATAAGTTAACGGCTGCTGACCAAAGTGTATAACAGTTAAATAAGTTGTACAATGTAAATGTCGTGCCTTTACAGACAACACAAACAATCTGAGCTAGGATAGTTAGCTGTTAGCAGGCCTGGGCTAACTGCTGTTCCTGTTCTTTGTCTCGTGTTTACTGAGGCGTTGTGTCTCTGTAGTGCACTCACCAGTGTTTCAGAGGTTCTGCTGTGTTGTTGAGAAGAAGCTGCTGGATTATGAAAAATAACAAATAACTAAAAACCTAAAATCATTTGTATTTATCATTCTTTCTGTATCGGAGGCTCGCGGCTAGCATGACATCACAGCTGTATCATGGCTACCTCCTTAGCTAGCTAGCTTCAAATCAAATGTCTACCCCTGCCGTACATACTGATTTTATTTTTTACACAAGCCGACGTACCTCTGTATTTGGCTCTCGTTTCCTCCTGTTCTTTTTTCCGTTTCCTTCCGGTTGCACTTGAAGGCTTGGACCTCTTCATAATGATAATGTTGTTGCGAACTCCGACCCTTTCAGCTGGAGCTGCCGCGTCACTTTGGCTGTGGGCAAGTACACCATAGATATATATAAACACTAGATGGCTCATGGGAGATTTTCCAGCGTAGCTGACCGGCCGCCATCTTGCTACAGTCAACAGTTACTCTGATTTGCGCTATGGTAGCTGTTGTAAGGTGAGTGATCTGCACAAAAATACTCTTAACTCGCTGAAATCTTGACTGATTTACAAACGGTTTGGTTTATTATAAACATTATTAGCATGGCTATGATACAGGATGCTTGGACATGTTGAAATTGCAGCTTTTCTTTGTATATGTGGTTGTATTTATTAGCTGGCTAATAACAAGAGGCTGTGAGTGAGACCTATATTACAAAGTTGACCCAGCAACTTTACACCAGTGGGAGAGGCAGAACTGCTCTTTCTTTTCAACATAACTTAAGTTACACATGATTTCTTCCAAGTGGTTTGGCTTGTTAAAAACATCTTGCATTATGATACAGGAATTTGCTGGCTTTGTGTTTACAGAAGTACCTGACTATGCCGGACTTTTGTGCAGCCTACGGCTGCTCTAATCACCGCAGTCTGCAAACAAGAACCCGTGGGATCACCTTTCACCTGTAAGATATGACAATATTATGACTAAAATTAGGATAATCGTTAATTACTTAGTGGATGTATGTACATTACAAGTCCTGCTACACAGGATCAGTGGGGCTATGTGAGATAATAGTATTGCAAGATTGTTGTTGACCCAGCCTCTTTAGAATATGTTGCTACCATTTCTTTACACAATTATTTAATGTTTCTTTTGGACACCTTTTTTATTACTCTTAGTGTGGTTGTCTTATTCTTAAAGTAGGCTATACATACATGCATACATACCAAAAATATGATAATTTCGGTGTGTATTTTTGTCCTTACCCTTAATGTTAAAGGAAAGAAGGGAGGAAAATGTTGACAATAATTTATATATCTGGCTACCTTTCTCATGTTTTTAAGGTTTAAGGCAGTGGGAACTCGCCCTAAGAAGAGACGGGTTTGTTTCCTGTGACAGGACACTGCTCTGCAGTGAGCACTTCAGGAGTGAGGAATTTGACCGGACAGGGCAGACTAATGGCGAATCGCTACCACTAGGAGCATATATCGCCACCTACTATGTATTTATTAAATCTTCATGTTCCATGAGACGCAGCACTATGTTCCCCACATATGTTTATGTTTGCTCAGTCTAATAAACCCATAACATGGTTGTGAAAGAATACCAAAGCTGAGGCTGGACGATGATTGATTGTTGGTGTGCCATGTGTCACCGTGTGTCTTATTGGTTTTGTGTTATACTGTATTTTATTGTGTGCAGCTGGTCCTTATCTCCAAGACACATTTAAAACAAATAACCTTGAAGCCCCATCTCTCCCCACCTGCTCCTGCTTCCTACATCCCCTCCACACCACACCAAGTTGTTCTTCTTAATAATAATAATACATTTATTTTGGGGGGGCCGCCTTTCCCAAGGACCCAAGGACACCTTACAGGGGCAATATAGGGAACAATTTAAACAGTGAATTTTGTGATATATCAGCCGGGGTGAGACGAGACAAACCACAAATGGACTACAGAAGGACACATGGTACAGTTTATATTATTCTTGGTCTTTTTTCAATAACATATTTCAAAGGTTCTGGATTTGTTTACAAATCTAGAAACTAAATACAAAACTAGTATAGTAATATGAAGATCTCATGTCAAAAATAATTGTGATAAATTAGACAGAACTGGCCTGTCTGTGAGCACATATTATGTTGGTTTGGTTCTTCTGATAAAGGTGTGAATATCTAAATAATATACCAACATATGCTATTGTCATTAGTTGTGTCCCTGTTCTTAAAGCTAAGGCATTGCTAAATTAACAACTCTTGGCTTACAGAGTGGTAACATGAGACCGATTTTTATATATAAAATATAAATGTATTTTAATTTTATAATTTATTTTAAATATTAACAATATAATAAAATTAATGGAAATATATACGCCGGCAAATATTTAATATAAATACCTTGTGTGTATAGCTATTGCTTTATCTGATTAATGTTATTTTCATATGAAAGTCCATGATTATAAGTATGCAGTATCATAACTACATCTTTGATGTTTATAAAAAACCAAACCGTTTGAAAATTGGTTGAAAATTGAGCAAGCTATGGTTATTTAAATAGTAAACCATAATGTTATGAATGAGAGAACTGCCTGTAGCGGCGGCCAAGTGGCAACGTCGGTCTCCATTGGCCAGCAGCGCGGGTGAGTCATCTAGTGTTTATATATATCTATGAAGTACACGACACTACACGACACGCCCACCTGACACGACACTACGGTGGCTGAGAAACATTACCGTACGTGGCAGATTAAAAGTGAATTGACGATACTACACGACACGCCCACCTGACACGATACTACGGTGGCTGAGAGACCGTACATGGCAGAATTGCAAATGTTCTTGTAGCATTTTAAGCAACTATTAGGTAAATAAATTAATAACCTAGTCTATCTGTATGAAACCCCCTTGGAACCCCTTATCCCATTTTGATGGTTGACATCTAATTTGAACAGTCAAAGCCAGAATGACAGCATCTTTGACTTAATTTAGCAATAAGTCAAAGATATGTTTACTGTATATTATAAAAATGCTTGTCATGTAGGCACACTGGAGATGGAAAGGCTTTAGTCAGTGTTGTAGCTGAGATTCTTACCGTTCCAATGATGTATGGGATGTATTCATAATAATAACTTGGATTTATATAGGCCTTTCATGAGACCCAAGGTCGCTTTAAAAAGAACAGGAGTAGAAACAAACATAACAAAAGGCAGTCAGACGAACAGTTGGACAGACAAAACAACAAATAGATTTGGGGGCAAAGGCCTTGGCACACAGATGGGACTTGAGGGCCTTTTTGAAGGCGTCAAGCGTGGGGATGTTGCAGATCTCGCAGGGAGAGCGTTCCAGAGAGTGGGGGGCTGCCATACTGAAGGCTCTGTCCCTGAAGGATCGCAGGTTGATGCGGGGGGCCAGAGTCTGAAGACTGCAGGTTCCGGGGTAGGGCATGTGGGAATTGTATTGATTTGATTCAAGCAAGCCTTTTTTTTTTTTTTTTAAACCTTTTAAATGGATCCCAACAGTAAAATCAACATGATTTTAAATAAAAATGTAAGCAGCCAGGATTGACTTGCAGTAAAAAGGCTTGCTTTAAAGTCTATTTAAAAACTCCTCGGAATCCAAAGCTCTTCGGAATCTTTCACTGAAGTCCTTCAGCCTTTGGTGCGCTTCCTCACTCATGCTCTTGGTGGGGTCATGAGAACAAAGTTCCAGCTCACTGATAAGACAAGATGGTATAAAGAAGTCATATGTAATATTATAAATTCACATGCATCAGGGGTTGTACACTTTAATGGAAATTGTATTAGCATTCTCCTCATGTTTCCAGCTTACCTCCAGTCATACTCGGGTCCACATTTATATGTTTCCTTTGCTCTTTCAAGGGAAATCGAGAGTACAGCTGCGAGGGCGTGGACTGTCGCCTGTGTCATGATGGGATTAAAGCCACACGTTTAACAGTTAGAGTAAAATGTAGACATCCAATAAAGGTTGTGCCATTCTGCAGGTGACAATTATGTCAGACCAATTGGCATCAACATTCTACTGGACATTGACCATGAGTTTAAGTGCAACATATACTATATATATATATACACACTCATAACACGCAGGGCATGATTTATTTTTACTGTTGGGACTCGGGTTTGAGTCCAGCATGAACTTTTTTGTTATTTTCATGTCGATGCACATTGAATATTATGTTTGAATAGACGATTCGTAATATTGTTTGCCGACACCAACATTCACGACCAAGCAGCATTTTAAAGTCTAAATATCCCCAATGACATTTCTGCTGCTATCTTTGCAAAACGAGGCAACAGTCACATCTTATCTGGATGAGTGCTGCACAATACCGTTTTTATAAGGGATACATGTGTGGGTAGTCTTTCATATTAAACATGATCGCTGGTAGATAGCCACAGAAATCGTAACACAATTTAACCTGGGCAGCTACGTTCTTGCGTAATGCGGAAGCAAAATCTAAACTGGGTTGGAATAACGATAGACGCGGGCGGGTCACATTTTAACGTGGGCGGGTCCCAGTTCCGTGGGAATATCACAGTTTAACACAGATGAAGACTTCTCCACGCTGCTTTCAAACTGTGAGTAAACACCGTGTGCTTCACTTGGAGGCTGTCTGAAGGTATACACAGATGGACTTGGACATTAACAACGATATTCCGTAATAAGTCTGGAAACAATAGCTGGTTTAAATGATTTATTCGAGCAACTCGTTTGTCTTGTTGTAGTCCTCGCTGTTCGCGTCCGGATATCGCCATCGTAATCACAACCTCACACACTGGTACTGGATGTGCATCAACGTGTTCCTAAGAAGCCAAATATACCAAAAGATGTATGTAAACGACAGAAGAAAGCGATCGAAATGTGTATTTCAGTCGAAAGCCACGCACCCCACGGAAACGAGTTGATCGGGAAACAAGTTGATCGGGAAACAAGTTAATCCGGAACACCGGGACACGGCTAATTACTGCAAGGAACAAACAAAAACTCTCTAAATTAAGCTACAAACATAGGCAGTTACCATTCAAAACTTTGAAAAAATCACAAGCGTCATAAATAATTGTAACAATGCTTGAAACTTATTTATTTAATACAAGTTTGGATAATCATAATCCTGTAATGTTAGCTTGGTTAACTGACATTTTCATAACACTCACAAATAAAATCTCTTTATAAACGTTCAAACACCGGTTAGGTGTTGATTTAACTCCATTTAGCTACTTTTCGTTTTGCCTGGAACCATTAAATATGCAGCCACTCACCTCACTTTGCCTGTCCGTCAGTGGTTCATCAGCCGAAAAGATCTGCGTACCCCTTCTGTAGGTCATGTTCACTCACTGTCACATCGCTTTACAAAAACGTATTCATCCGCCGCTTAGCTTTTCGTAGTCATCAATCTGTCCGCTTGAAGTTCTTCTTTTGATAATGGCGAATGGAACTCGGTGGTTCACTTGCTGTATATCGTAAAAAAATTAAAAACTCATGTCCCTGTTAAATGCCTTCAATTAATGAAAACACCAATGAGACCGGCACTATTTTCACCGGGCAGGAATATGCCATCGCTACTGCCATATGTTAGCGGCAGACAGGGAGAGACAAATACAACTAAATATCGTTCCAGGGCAGGCTAACCGAGGCTAACCAATGGAGAAGGTCCTCGCTGCGGAACGCGGAATGGGGTGGGGTCGGATAAAAGGCGGGGTTGGATGTCCGACCCCGCCCAGAGAAGAGTTACGACATCTCCGTGCACTCCTATAGCTTGGTTTCAGTCACGTGACTTCTATGACGCGCGAAATTCAAGTGGAGGTCAGGAAGTGAAAACGCAATCATTCATCAACGCAGGAATCATGGAGGACACCGACTATGTCAAACAATTAAATGAACCTGCACGCCGCAGATATCGTGAACAAATCACAGCACACATCGGATACGATCCGTATCAGCTGAAAAAAAACGACTTTTCTTGTGATTTATCCGATTTGCCCGCTGTCCAGGCGATGGATATCACCAGCTACCTCGTCCTTCATACCTCCTACTACACGGCTAGCCAGATGAAAGCGTATAAAAGCCTGGAAGCTTTCAACTACTTCGTGTGTGGATGGGTGAATGACCTCGGCACCAAAGAGGCATTAAACAAATGTCGCCTTGTTTTTGCCCGGGTGAGTGTTAACTACCTATACCTTCTTACCTCTAAGTAGCATTATTAGGAGACCTCTAGCTAGCTAACTTTAGCTACATGGACTCATGTAAGGCAGTGTTACGGCTGTCGCCTTGCCTTCAGCATTAACTGGCCTGTGAGTGTGTTGTGTGTGTATATATGTGTATGTTTGTTATGTGATTAGCTTAGGATATATTGTGTTTTGTGTGTATAGACAGCTCAGAGCCTTTGAACAGCCTGCACGTTGTTTATATCACTCTATGTTGAGGTTAATATTAAAAACAACCTCTTTACCAAGACCATCTGGTTATGTGTTGCTTGTGATGTTGTTACCAACTCGCAAGTTGTGAACTGGAGCTTCAATTGTGTAGGTCAACCATTCCCAGAGGTCTGGAGAAACACCATTTTAAAAACGTGGATTGTAGCTAAAGAAGATGGAGAGGTTGTTACAGCACACTGTAACTGTATGGCTGGGTAAGTCATAACATAAATATCCCAACCCAAAGCATATTTGACACAACACTTAAGCTCAGACAAAATAATGCCTGCTATAATATTCATGTTATACCATTACTAGCTTTTACGATCAATCTAGTTATTCTAGTATGTCTCTGTCTATACAGTTTGTCAGAATCCTGCTCACATGTTGGAGCAGTTCTGTTTGCAATCGAAGCAGGTGTGAAGATGAGAGAGACTGCATCCTGCACCACTGAGAAGTGCAAGTGGCTAATGCCATCACATGTCAAAAAGGTATTCAGACCCCAGTGGTCAGTCAGCTGTTCATGCTGTCCTTGCCTGTCTCATTGTTACACTGCACCTACATGTATGTTCACATACATGTTGGTCTGTCTCTCACATGTGCAGATTCCTGCTGCTCCAGTTGCGATGATAGACTTTTCATCCGCAAAATCCAAAAAGCAAAAACTGGATGATGCCATTGCTGGAAGGACAGGTGAGAAGCACACATTTCAGCGTCCCACAGTCCAGGGTTCAAAATTGGAGCGAGGATCAGAGAGGTATATGCAGTTTTTCAAGACTTTGAGCAGAAATTCCCCAAGAAGTGCTGCACTGATGTCCAGGGAACCATATTACAGAGAATTTGTCCCTAAATCTGTGAGCAAGCTACCTAAACCACTACCTCAGTATAGGACACCAGAGATGCTACAGCTATCCCCAACAGAGTTGCAGAATGCATGCCAGGACTTCAGACAGGAAGAGCTGAAACAGCCACAGGTCCAGGCAGTAGAGGAGGAGACCAGAAACCAGAGCTTATCAGCAATATGGTTTAGCCAAAGAGCAGGAATGATCACAGCCTCAAGACTGAAGCAGGTTCTCCAGACTAGTCTTGCACAGCCATCAAAGTCCTTGATCAAGTCCATATGCTACCCAGAGGCATACAAGTTCTCTACAGCTGCAACAAGGTATTTATTGGGGATTAGGGAGCCAATCAGAAAAGCAAACTGTATACAGTTTTTCTCAGACGCGGAGGGATACCGACTTGTTGTGAAAAGTAACTTACAATTCTACCCGTGGTATACGCTGATTATATCACGTATATCAGTAAGTTACAGTACAAGTAACTTATAACTAAATTCATTATCATTACAAAACATGATTCACAAAATATTCAATGCATAAAAATACTGTGTGTGTGTGTGTGTGTGTGTGTGTGTGTGTGTGTGTGTGTGTGTGTGTGTGTGTGTGTGTGTGTGTGTGTGTGTGTGTGTGTGTGTGTGTGTGTGTGTGTGTGTGTGTGTGTGTACGTACGTACCAGGGTTTCAGCTGTAAAGACAGCGGGCTTTGGCTGAACCCTCAATGGCCATACATGGGAGCGTCGCCAGACGGAGGTGTCACGTGCACCTGCCATGGAACTGGTATCTGTGAGATAAAGGTAAGTTATTTGTTCAGTATTGTGCTACAGTAAAGCGGGTAAGTATAGGATTGTGACGTGATCCTGAGTCTGGGGATCCTCTCCCAATACATTTTGAGCTGCAGACACTTATTTACAGTACAATATATTACTTTTCTTTTCATTGAACTTTTAGTGCCCACACAGCAAACAAGAGGAGGCCAATCTTCGCCTGTGTGCTGGAGAACAGGGCTTCTGTCTCGTCAACGATGAGGGCACTGTGAAGCTGGACAGGAGACATGCCTACTACCATCAAATACAGGCTCAGCTCCACCTCGTTGATGTTGACTACTGCGACTTTGTTGTCTGGACTAACAATGACCTCTTTGTAGAGAGAATTGTGCGTGATGTGGACCTGTGGGACAACATCATTCCCAGAGTTGAGCGTTTCTTCAGACTATGTGTTCTCCCTGAAGTGTTGGGACAGCACCTTACAAGGGGAAAGGTAAAAGTCATAAAGAGTTGGTGTGCTCATTTTTTTCCACAAGAACATGTTAGTGCATAACTATCAGGTGACTAAAAGCCTCCTCTCCCTGTCTGCTGTTCCATTTTTCAGTTTCAGTTGCAAGATGATCAGGAGGGAGAGGAGGCGTGATTACCAGCACTGTGGTCTGTCCTGGTCCCGGAAGTTGTGGTTCTCTCCTTGTTGCATTATTATTACGTGCCGTAGTGGGTGCTGGTGTTTGGGTGTGTGTGGGTGTCTTTTTCTCTCTCCCTCTGATCTCCCCAGGTGCTCCCAATCTCCAATCAGCGCCTCCATATAGGACATGAGGAAGGTTGCAGTCGCTCTCCCCTTATCTTAAGCTTTGTTTGACAAGTTGGCTGGTGAGCCCTTTTTCGTTGTGTTAATTAAAAGACCACTTTATGGCGTCAGAGATCAGTTTCCTCTCCTTTTTCTCTCGGCCGGTTATGTTGTGTGTCGCTACTTCCCTTTGTACCCCTATATTTACAAGGGAACATTTGCACAGTGGCAGCTCTTTAACCTGCATTACAGCACCTTCATATTCACTGACCACACTCACTAGAGGAAGTAGGGCTGTGTGATATATTGCTATTGTAAAAAAGATGTTTACTGAAAAGATTAAATGATACTAAGACTGAATAATACATGGTTTCTTATTTACATTTACAATAACCCTCAATGGCCATACATGGGAGCGTCACCAGACCAATTGTCATCTCTAGAATATTGTTGAATGAATTAAGCCTGAATGTAGATGAAAGTTGTATATTGAGTAGGGCTACACAATTTTCAACACAAAAAGATGTTTACTGAAAAGATTAAATGATACTGAATAATACATGGTTTCTTATTTACAAGACTACAGCTCCATGACTTTACTCCAATGGGACAACAGACACTGACAGATTAGACAAGGCACAGCAAATAACCCCAATCTTGTCAATTAATGCTAGTGCCCTCACCTGGTTTTGTTAGCATGTGCTCTATGGGCACAGCCCTGCTTTGCAAAATCTGATATTTTCTTCTGACTAATCCTATGACTCTTTCAACATGAATACGCACATTAGCTATTTTTCTTGTCTCTTCCACCTCGTATGCTGACAGCTGACTTTTCCCCCTGGTGAATGCAGGCATCTTTAGTGAAGCACAGTAAAATCCCACACTATCGGCAATATCGAACCCACGGTCTGCTAGGACAATATCTCCAGGTAACAGGTTTTTTAGGAGCCCACTCTGTATTGTGATCTGTTTATTACTAACTCTTCCTCCCCAGGCACAAGATATGTAGGTAACATAGCCTTGGGGAGCAACACCAATCAGAAATTTAACAGTATGGTGATGCTTGTAGTTGGACCATGTTTGTGCTCTAGCTAGTAAATTAGAGGGCCTCTCAATAAAAACTTCAAAACAGTCAACAATCACAGCAACTCTACATCCAAATGCCTGTCTGAATCCCATTGGCATTGTAGCTTGAAGTACATGTCGCTCTGGCCACTCAATTATAAATTCTGTACTCTCGTGAAGTATGTCAATTAACTTATGCCAAATTCTAGAAGCAGTGGAGAGAGACATGTTGAACCTGAAAGCCAAATCTTTCAGAGGGAGATTTAGTCTCAGCCTCAGCAAAACTAAAATGAACTGCTCAAATTTGGAGAGCACAGACATAGGGCTCGCACAGTTGAAAAACCTGAAGTAAAACTAAGAAGTTGGGGAGCCCGGTGTAAAACTTTGTTTTCTCTTCGTTGTTCTCAAAGGACTCCTGGTTGAACTTTGTGTCCAGTGCCTTTGTCCGAAGATCTCCTAGCTCTGTTGTGTTCTGTCTCAGAACATCCTCCATCCTCTCGATGTCCTCCATCGTTAAATCAGTATGGCATACAATATAGCAGTAGCAAGCATAATTAGTTATTTAAAATAGTCAAATATGAATGTGAATTTTTGTGAAGTTATCTTTTTGACAACCTTTTTACAGACATGCAAGTTCTCTGTTCCAATTATTGCAGATTCTCAAATTAGTGCTCTATTTTCTAAACCTAAAATTCAAAGTTTGCATTGATTTTCTGACAATCACATTTGTAATATTTAATAATAATGCTGGTGGTTAATTTACCTTGTTGGTCATTTAATATCCCACTGGTGTCCTCTGGCTGTGGGCTGTCAGACGGGGGCTGCGTCGGTTCTGGGCTCTCGGTTGTCTGCAGGAGATCCAACAAAGCCTCTGCACATTCTGATTGTCTTTGTTGGTCTTCCTTGAGCTCCATCCTCTGCTCTCGTCGAAGAGATGCCTCTGATCTGGGCTTACTTGTTGTGTGGTAACCGAGGCTAACAGTGGGAGCCCAGTCTACCGACTCAACGTCACCCAAAGCGCTAGGGCACCCTAAAAAGTCCCAACAAAGTCCATATTAGACTACAGGTAACTTAAACATGATCAGTATTACTAAGTAAATACGCATTTAACCACAACCCAATAATACCTAAACAAAGCCACAAAAACCAAGTTAGCTAATACCTCTGATGAAGTGGTCGCTGCAGACCCGTGCATTAGACAACTCTGCTCCTCCCGACCGCAGATGTAGGTTTGAAAGCCATTTTTTCCGGCGTTCTTCGGTTAGCTTCTTAAATTGCTCAGCTTTATGGACAACCTTCGGCACTCGGTAAAACCTCTTGTTTTTCTCTCGGCCGGATCGATTGGAACAACCGTAAACTACACAACACACCAGCATTTTCACAATGGTAACAGCAGCTAGATCCTCTGTAGAAAATTACTTCCTGACCTCCAATGGAATTTCGCGCCAAAGGAACGCAACGGTGTGACGTCACGTGAAACCAAGCTATGGACCAGTTTTTTACAGCAATGGCGGATCGCGGAGCCTCTCAGTAGTTTCCCCGGAAGTTAACTAACTTCCGGGAAACTATTGAGAGGATCTCCGGCTAGCAGCGCAGTAGAGTTGTAGCATAATAGACCGTTCGTGATGGACTTTTAAAGGTAAGAAGACGTTTAAAGATTTATATTGCGGATATTATCAGAACATCTGAATCAAATTAACTACACATGCGTATTAAAGGATGTTAGTGGATTATCCCTTCAATTAGTATATTTAACGTTTACAGATAACAGATTAGGCTAGAATGCCGGATAAAGTTAGCAACACACGTTAACCACGAACAGCCTATTAATCCGTTCTCCTCATGTTATTTCCTCCAACGTTGTGGAATTAGAGAAAAGGGGCTTCTTAACGTGCTTTTATCCGGGGTGGAGGGAGTTACATATTAGTTAAATATAACATTGGGGCGTGTGATTGTAGTGGGTGGAGGTGGTGAAATGAGGATATCCATTTTGGAGTTCAAGCTAGTATAATATAGTTAACGTTACACAATAATAAGGAAGAGAGCTATTTTTGTGATACATCGCTATTGATATGGATTTAGAGTGGATATTTGAGACTTCCAAACAGTAAACAAAAACATAACTTATGGGTGAGTGTTTTTAGCAGTCATATTATGTCTTTGTGATTCTGTTGATTATTACCTGTCTGTATTATGTTGCAGCTCAGCTGATGTTGGATTGATGGCAAAGGGAGAGGGACTTAAGTGAGAGTGAAAACACAAGGTACGTTTAAAATAGGTCAGCAATTTCCCATCCTCTAGGTTGCTAGATGTATCTAACCCTTTCTCCTGTCTCCCTCTTTCAGCACAAGAACCCCAGGGGGATTCAATGGAGCCTGAAGACCTGCAATGAGACCCTCACCCTGCACCTGAGTCTCAACTCCCAGAGCTTTGCAAGCCTCCCCCTGTTCCTTATTTTTATTAAACAGACGTTAAGCTTCCCGATGGTGTGGTCTTCGTTTTGTGAAAAATATGATTATCTCACATATGTTGTTGCTTTTGTGTCGGACTATTTAATGTTTTTTGAGCAGTGCATTGATAAAGAAAACCTTAAGGTTCATGCCTGTTTTTGAAGAGTTGAATGTTTGCATCAGCAAAGCCTTTCACTGTTGTATAGATTTTTTTTTTATATACTTGTTTTTTTTTTAAATATTTACTGTATTTGCTTTTTCGGTTCTGTTATCTTAATGATTGTTCTGTTATATGATAAATGTTGTAAATAATAAATGCTTTTTCTATCATTCTATGAAATGCAGTGCAATGTATCATTTGAAATATATGGACTAGATATGAGTATGCACAGAACTGACTAAATGAATAATCAA